ACCCAATCCTTATTTGCATTGAGCCTCATGTTGGGATGCCAAAATGTAACAAAACGTTAGTAAATTTGGGACAGTAAAGGATAAAAATTTTTGTGATTCTGTGCCAGTGAATCGACGCCTTACTTTCAGCTGTTTCCTAACCACATTTTCCTAATTAACTCAATTCTCTCTTTCTGCCCATATTGGGATTTTAGAGAATTCCATAGTAATTATTTTTATTTTACTTTTAAGTGTAGGTTCTATTACCAACACTGTACAGTCCAGGCGTGTGTATGATTCTTCATGTTTTATTGTATGATTATTGTCTTGCCCATCTTTTCTTCTTTCCGCCTAGGTGCCTTGTACCTGTGCTAATCATGTTCATCTTTAGCACTGGTCACAGCAAATGCCAATTGTATCTCCTGGTATCTTAGCACAATAGTGTAAGATAATGGATTTTACCTCCTTATTTCAAGCTACAAATCAGGCGCATTCCCCAGCCATTGAAAGGTATATTTACAGATAATGCGGGCTTAGCACATATATTGTAGCCTAGTGCAGAGTGTTTGATGTGCTCTACTGTAAGAATATTGATCCCCTTGCCAACTCTACATCAAGTTTCTGAATAGGGTATTTGCCGTGTTCTATGGTCTGCAATTTACCTTTGAGGGCCATGTCAGGCGCTCGTGATGTCCTAATAGCAATTTCCTAACAATGATGAATATTCAAAGTTGTCAACTGAATGAAATATTCACACCCTGCAATGAATTGCTGTTTGGGGATTTTTAAAAATGCTCGAGGATGGGATTGCATTACTTGTTCACACTTTTTTTTTTTATTTTTGTAATTTAACACAATTGGCTCCGCAAATACCATTCTGTAAGATTTTTTATAGATTAAACCTATTGAGCAGATGAGCAGTACATTTACAGATTTTTGAAAGTATGTGATTTGCCATTCCCCGGGGAAGAGAAAATGGAACTTTTGCCAGTTATCAACAGTCAGACCATATGTAGCCACCACAAGAATGAGTTTATTGAAAACCTTCTTAACTTTGGGAGTTAAGCTAAAAAAAAAAAAATAGAAGCTTTGACCTCAGTATACTTAATTACTTTGAATTCTGACCAGCTCTTGAGAGAAAAAATAATTTGTGCCCGTTCAGATTTGTTTAGTTATGCAAAGTAACTTAATGGAAGTAAATGTGGGAGTTTTATCTTCATATTTTAAATAAGACTGAACGGGCACACTTCTATATATTAGGAGATAAAAATGATATAAACCATCTCCACTGATTCAAAAATGTCTTAAAACGAGGATCTGAAGAGGTGAATTTCTTGCTATAGTAATGAGTGAAAGACAATGGTAAAAAAGGTGGTATGGCTGCACTGCTTAAAAAAACCAGTTTATTAAGCACAGAGATACTCTAATCAATTGACCAGGCTCTTTCTACTGCCACTGCGGGTGTGGTGAGAACTCTGTGAAAATACCACATACTGCAAACTAATGGCCATGTATATTGCCTTAAAAAAAAGAAATTACCTTATTACATACATACTCACAAGAATCTCAGGGTTTTAAAAAGACTCCCGATCCCACCCCCCCTCCAGGGGACCCCCTTTTTTAATTATTATGCATTTTAGCCTTAAGGTGATTACATGTGCCTAAGGCAGGTGTTGCTCTTAGTCAATTTAAGAGCTGCCTTTCTTTATAGCAGCTCAATGCATCCTTTTTAACACCCCTATACCCAGTGTTTTTTTAAAAACATTTCAGAGTTATAGCCCTCAGGCTGTGGTTTGATAAAAAATTGGCCAGCAACCAGGACAGTAGGTTAACATGGTACAGTAGGTAAATATACATCAATTGTGAAACACAAACAAGGCAGATATGTTGCTACACAAAAAAATAAAGTATATAAACTCATCGACACTTTCAAGAAAAATACCAGCTGTAGGGTCATTGGTAGAGCTTGGACTACAAAGGCGGTTGTTTTATTGCAATTAAATTGGACACTGTTCCATAATGATACTTCAGTTATAAATTGACCCAGCACCAAGGTTGCGTTAGTTTAAGATTTGCCTGATTGTACAGTATTAAAAAATATGATGATTGCTTTGCTGACAATTATACAATCAGGACAGGCCCCAGATGACAGTTATGAGCACTGTTTTAACCGCTTCACTGCTTACGCCCACCCGTATAATGTTGCTGGTCGGACTGAGAGCGTGAGCTGTGCTAAGCCAAAGGCAGACTTTACACGTACATTTCTTTGCTCTTCCGGGTTTTACTTCCGCGGGATGCTTCGCCTCCCCCGTCCCCCTCATGCCTTTCCATACAGCACTTCTCGGGGAGAACAACCTGAAAATTGCCTGAAGGGTGATGATTTCTGCCATGCTGACCACCCCCTTATGTGCTGATTGGTGACAGGGATATGGTGCCAATCATCCTCTATATAGTGCTTATTGAATTCGGTAAGCTCGCATGAGCTATTTCCATCTCTTTCAGTTTCGCCAGGTTTATATTAACTGTATTCCATTGTGTAAATTGGGAAAGAAAGCATCGTGATCCATACCGTTGCTTTGGTGAAGATTAGATATAATCGCTTATGGGCAGAGGGTGTTTTCCAGAGTCGGATTTGATCCCGAGATTGGCGCTATTATTTAGTAGATATGGTCTATTGCACCATTGATAGTAAGTGGCTAGGGGATTGTGGATTTCCCTCAGTGATTAGCTGGTGTTGAAGTGCTTAGTATCATTATTAATATTTTTTTTATGTGTGTAAAAAAAAAAAAAGGACAAGCTGGGAACTTTTTTGTTGTTCAAAAATAATTATTTTTAACCAAGCGCGATTAAGGGAGCCGGATTTGATTGAGCTCCTGCGTTGTGCATTCAGGAGCGTCAACCCCTGATGGCCAGGTACGGTAAACAGTCGGGTGCACCACACATGTGATTGAGGAATTATGCGACGGTGCAAAGTTTCAGATACAAGTGGCACTGTATATTTCTAGCACTAGAGCTCCCTCTTGCGTAAATCTAAATTGGTCTATCTTGTAATGGCTTTTTAAAGAGCCATTTGCTTCTAATGTAGATATTAAAAATGCTATTGCGAGTTTGTCTGCCATTGCTCAGGCGCACGGCCGGACAGTTTTAAAGCAGCATCGTCATGTTTGGTATGCCTTATTTATCATTGGGCATTACCATCTTATTTTACCAAACTAATTTGGCCAATATATTGTGTTTGTACATTAAAAGTGAAAAAAGTGCATTTTTTTTTCAAAAAATAATAGAGTACCAAACACCATTTTATTCACTAGGGTGTCTACTTTAAAAAAAAAAAATACTATATTGGGGCTAAAAGTAATTTCCTAGCAAAAAAAAAAAAAAGATTTTTTTCATGTGAAACAAAAAGGCTTGGTCTTCAGGTGGTTAGAAGAGGTGAGTGATGTGTGGCATAAACTTCTAACTCTGGGCATAAAAATGCCCTCACCCCACAAAATGACCCCTTTTTGCGCGAACATAGACACCCCAAAATATTTTCTGAGAGGCATGTTTGAGTCAATAGAAAAATGTATGTTTTTACTACAAGTTTTTGGGAAAATTTAGCAGTCTAGCCAAAGTACAGGACCCTAAAATCCAATAAGCACCTTAAGAAACGTGGTGAGTATTTCGCAGATGTAAGATTTGTTGCCCACAAGTTTTTGGAAAATAAAGAAAGAAAAGCAAACATATTTTTTCTTTTCTTTTCTTAGATTTCAAAAACCTTGTGAGAAAAAAATGAGACCTACAAAATACTCCCATGCCTCTTTTTAAATTCCTTAGGGTGTCTACTTTCCAAAAAGTGGGCATTGGGGGGGGGGGGGGGGGTTGGTTGCTGCTATCCTGGCATTTCAGGGCCTCTGAAACTGTGAAAGGTGGTGAGGAAGCGAAATGAGGAGTTATGCACCTTCAGCTTTGAAAGTGGTCATTGGATTTCAGGCTCCTCTATGTGGCTAGGCTCCCAAAAAGTATCACACATGTGGTTTTGTCCCCATACTTGGTAGCAGTAGCAGAATGTCTTTTTTGAGTTGTAATTCCACATATACCCATGGCTTGTGTGAGCAATATATCATTTAAGGGACAACTTTGTGTAAATAAAAATGTTTTTGTCATATTCCAAAGACTTGTGGAAAAAAAAAAAAATAAATTGCTTCCATGGTGTCAGGGCTCCCGGGTATGACCAGAGGTGTATGACTGATGCAGGGAAACGCAGACTTCAGATATGTTATAAACAATATAATTTATTTGACACTAACAATACAAACATAAACGCAGTGCAATACTAAAACATAACACAGTGCAAACGAACCAAACCAAATCACCCACAGATAACAGTACATACAATGCAAGCGTCGTCAGGACACTGGCAGAGCCGGGTCAATATCAATCAGCAGGTAGGTACAGGGGAAGCAAGCGGAGAATGGTCGGGTCACAAGCCAGTTCAGCAGGTAGCGGGCAGCGTGGTACAGAGGGTCAGGCAGAGGTCTGCAGAGGGTTAGTGTTATGGTCAGGAACGAGCCGGGGTCAGAGCAGGAGAAGTCAGCAGAGGTCAGATCAGCAGCAGGGTCAGCAACAAGACAGGAACAGGAACAGGATGCAGGAACAGGATACAGGGGGGGCCCCCAGGAAAAACACACACCAAAAAAAAAAAAACCAAGGCAGAGTCTGCAGGTCTTCTCGGCCATCCCTTAAATACACAGTATAATCAGTTCCAGGTGTTTGACTGGCTGCAAGGTTGAGTCTCTGATTGCTGGGAGCACCCGGATTGGCCAGCCCTGGTACTGCAGCTCATAAGGCAGGGTGAGTCCCACCATTGCTGGGCCACCTGTCCATTCCTGACAGTACCCCCGCGGCTCAAGGAGCGGCCTCAGGACGCTCCAAACAGTCCTAGAGCTGGCAAAATGTTCCACCGCCCGGGTCTGGTAACATGGCGGGATATCAAAGACTGGCACACCCGGGCAGGACTCCGGGCAGCGGCACAACATTACCGGGGCAGGACTCCCGGGCAGCGGCACACCGCGGCAGGGGCACATCGGCAGAGGCACATCGGGCAGAGGCACAAATCGGGCTGGACTCCGGGCAGAGGCACATCGGGCTGGACTCCCGGGCAGATGCACATCGGGCCTGGACTCCGGGCAAGAGGCACATCGGGCTGGACTCCGGGCAGAGGCACATCGGGCTGGTCTCGACTCCGGGCAGAGGCACATCGGGCTGGACTCCGGGCAGAGCACATCGGTATTACCAGGCGAAGCATCAGCCCAGCGGGCCACCAGGCGGTAGCGGCAGGCATCGGGCCACCAGGCGGGGAGTGGCAGGCATCAGGCCCCCAGGAGGCAGGGGCGGCAGGCATCGGGGCCCCCAGGAGGGGCGACAGGCATCGGGCCCCCCCAGGCGGGGCCGACAGGCATCGGGCCCCCAGGCGGCAGCGCGGGTACCGGACCCCCCAGGCGGAGCGACAGGTCTCGGGCCCCTCAGGCGGAGCGGGAGCGGGGGGCGCCGGGACCCCCAGACGGAGCGACAGGTCTCGGGCCCCGAGGCGGAGCGGCGGGCCGCCAGACCCCCAGGCGGAGCGACAGGTCTCGGGCCCCCAGGCGGAGCGGTGGGCGCCGGACCCCCAGGCGGAGCGACAGGTCTCAGGCCCCCAGGCGGCCCCATGCGGAATGCAGGTCTCAGCCCCCAGGCGGAGCGGCGGGCGCTGGACTCCCAGGCGGAGCGTGCGGGCGCGCCCCCCCCCCCCCCCCCCCCCCCCCCCCCCCCCCCCCCCCCCCCCCCCCCCCCCCCCCCCCCCCCCTCCCCAGGCATGACAGTGGGCTCCGAGTCAACTGGCAGGATGACCGCTGGCACTGCGGTCAGACATTGGATCGTCTGGCTGGACAGCGGGCACATCGGGTCACCAGGCATCAGGTCATTTGGCTCGGACAAGCGGGCAACCGCGTCATCTGGCAACGGGCAAGTGGGCTACCGAGTCAACTGAGTATGACCGCGCGTTGGCAACTGGGTATCAGACATTGGATCGTCTGGGTTCGCCTGTGGTCCTGGACAGCGGGCATCGGTGTCCACCAGCCATCAGCGTCACTTGGCTCAACAGCGGGCACCAAACCGCGTCATCTGGCAATGACAGGGCACCAAGGTCACCAGTGCACGACAGTGGGCTCTCTGAGTCAATTGGCACGCACAGCGGTCGGGCCACGGGTCATCAGGTACTGGATTGTCTGGCTCGACAGCGGGCATGCATCGGGTCACTTAGGTATGACAGCGGGCACTGGGTCACCAGGCATCAGGTCATTTGGGCTTGCCAGCGGGGCACCGCCGTCATCTGCAAGGCAGTGGGCCACCGGCGTCACCAGGGCATGTGGATCGTCTGGCTCGACAGCGGGCATCGGTGTCACAAGGTTATGACCAGCGGGCACTGGCGTCACCAGGCATCAGGTCATTTGGACTCGCCCAGAGGGCACCGCGTCATCTGGCAAGGCGGAGTGGGCACACCGAGTCACCAGAGGTACGACAGCGGGGCTCTGAGTCAATTGGCCGACGGACAGCGAGACACCGGATCAGGTAGCCGGATCATCTGGTGGTAATCAACAGCGGGCATCGAGTCAACTGGACCTAATAGGGATCATCAGGCTTGGATCAGGTCAAATTCAGGGGGTCAGGCGCGTGAGTGAGGCATCAGGGGCTGAGTAGAGGCATCAGGCTGAGTAGAGGCATCAGGCTGAAGAGAGGCATCAGGCTGAAGAGAGGCTGACAGAGAGGGCATCAGGCCTTGAGGTACATGGCATCAGGCTGGGGATACAGGCAAATCAGGCTGGGTACAGACCTCAGGCTGAATGTCCGGTCCGGAAGTGCGGGTGCCGAGGCACCAGCTGAACCACGGAAGGCAGGTTCTCAGACGAACGGCAGGCTCACCGGCGTTTGCGTATACTGGCAGTGATGGTACTGGTTGGAAAGGAATTTTTGCGCTTTTTTCTGGTTTTTAACTACCTTTCTTGCACTGCAAGTAAACGCAGGGTCTGCAAATGAATTGGAGCGAGCTGGAGACAGAGAAGAGCTGGAGGATACTGGAACAGGGGAGGGAGCAGTTGCTACAGAGGTGATTTTTTCTTACAGGCGTTTAAAGCAGGCAGATAGGTTGCAGCGAGTGGGAACAGGCGGGGGGGAAGGTACTGACATGCGGTAGATAGCAGGGCAGGAGGAGCTCTTGTTGGGGAATGCCAGGAATAGAGCTTTGAGGAAAATAGATTAGAAGCAGTGACCTGGGTTTTTGTAGGCCTGACTGAGTGCCTGGGGTGCAATACAAATCTGTCCATGTCTGCCTAGTTATGGGTTGAACAAATATGCTGAGCTTACACAAAGCTCTGTCTGACCAAAGACTGCACTGCGTTTATACAATCTCTTAGTATCGTGGTGGTGTAACATGCGGAGCAATATGCCTACCGATAGAAGGCAATCCACGTCATCATTCAGCTCTGAATTAACCACTACCAGGGACTTTCTATCCTTTGGTCGTGCTTTATATAAATGGGCGCTGTCTGGCAAAATTCATCCCTGCATCGGGTGTCTTGGTGTTGTTGTTGTGGCAGTACCAGATGAAAACCAACTCGGCCACAAATCTGAATCGAATGGCTGCACGCTCAGAGGAATTCTGTGCCCGCCTGATCTACGTAGAACATGAGCGGCGTTGTCTATACTTTCTAGCGAGTTCCACCCCTGCGTGATACTTTTTCAGAGCTTTGATAAAGCATACTCTTTGTGTAATCAAACCACTAGCGATATAAGATACACAACCTCATCAAGATCCATTTCCTGTCCCATCAACAAACCGAAGATGGCTACCTTCCCTGTGCAGCCACTTCTGGATCAGGATTGGCACTTGGTGCTACAGTCAGGCTCCCGGGTATGACCAGAGCGGTGCGTGGCGGGCGTTAGGGGTTGTTGGTAGGGGTGTGTGACTGACACAGGGAAATGCTAGACTTCTGATATGTTATAAAACAATATAAAGTTTATTGACGACTAACAATACAAACAAAAAAGCTTTTTGCAATACTAAAACTAACACGTGCAAACGAACCAAACCAAACCCCCCACAGAAAAACAGTAATAAAATGCAAGCGTTCGGAGGCCGGGTAATTAATCGGGAGGTAGGTCGGGGGAGCAAGCGGAGAATGGTCGGGGTTAAAGCCGGGTTCGAGGTGGGGGGCAGCGTAGTACGAGGGTCGGCAGGGGGGGATGGTCAGGAAACGAGCCGGGGTCAGAGCAGGAGAATTCAGCAGAGGTCAGATAGGCGGGTCAGAAACAAGACGGGAACGGGAACAGGGATGCGGGAAAGGATACAGGGCCCCCAGGAAAAACACACCCCAAAGGCGAGTCTGCAGGGGGCCCACCCTTTTAAATTACCCAGTATAACAGTTCCAGGTGTTTGACTGGCTGCAAGGTTGAGTCTTGATTGTGGGAGCACCCGGCTGGCCAGCCCAGGTATGCAGTCATAAGGCAGGTGGTCCCCCATTGCTGGCAGTCCTTCCCCTGACCATGGATCAATATGCCTCTCAGATATGGGCATGGGTGTTAATTTCTGAAAAGGGGTCATTTGGGGGTGTTTGTCGCCCCTGGTATTTTAGCCCCTAATAAATGGACAGGCAGTCGAGTAAAAGTGTGTAAATTCCTTATCTATACCATGTTTGTGATGCTTTAAATTTTACACAAAGCTTTAAATTCATTATTGGGATTTTTTTTACCAAAAACATGTAGGAATACTTTTTTGACCTAAATTTTATGACTAAATTTTTAGTTTTTTGGATATTTTTTTGAAAAAAATTAAAAATATTTGGTTTTTTTAAAATTTTGGGTTTTTTTGTTTTTAGCGTGAAAAAAAAAAAAAGTGCAGAGGGCCCAAACCCAAAAACAACCAAAAGAAGCTCTTTTTTGTGAAAAAAAGAACATAAATTTCATTTATGTCGTATTGCATGACGCACAAATTTTCAGTCAAACTAGTGCACGCTGTTAGCAAAAAAAATTGGGTTTAAAATTGCACTATTTTTCCATAGTTTGTAAAAGCTATAACTTTCACACAAAGCAATCAAAATCACTTATTGGGATTTTTTTTTTCCAAAAAGCATTACAAAAATAAAAATTTTGGCCCAAAATTTATGACTAACTTTGAGTTTACTATATTTTTTTTTTATAGCTGAAAGTAAAAAAAAAACATATTTTTCCAAAATTTTTGGTTTTTTTTTTTTGTTTATGCGTGAAAAATAAAAAGACACAGGTGATAAATACCACCAAAAAAAAGCTTATTTGTTTGGAAAAAAAGGACTCATTTCATTTTTGGGTACAGCATTGCGGGCCACGAAATTACAGTTAAAAAGTGCAGCGCTGTATAGCAAAAAGAGGCCCTGGTCAGGGGAAAGGGGGGGGGGTAAATCCCTTTGGAGGGCAAGTGGTTAAAAAGGTCAAAATGTGTAAACTAAGTCAAGTTTTTTTTTTTTCAGTAAAGATGCCAGTCCTAAGGGCATATCTGCATTATTGAAGGTAATGTATCTTCCTGGTACCTGTCTTTAAATGGCAGGTTTAATTTATCACTTTGGAGCCCGTTAAGTCTATCACTCCCCCTTTTGGAATTTCCTTGTAAATACTAGGTGTTCTTTTAAAAATTACA